CCTTAACAGCAACCCAGTATTGTATAGAGGCAGTTCGAAGGCTGATGGCACTTCCCGGCTGTCTTGCGCTTAGCTGTCTACGTTGAGGCCTCCCATCTCAAAACCTAGTAGAGGTCAAAACCTTAAACCCGCAACCCTGAACCCTAAACCCTAATAGAGATGTCCTGTTTCAGGCTTCTTTTGTATTTCGACAGCTGGCCAAAGTTGATAGAATACTTGTTGGGGGCCAGCGAAACCTGTGTTTGGAAGGCCCCTTAGAAGGAACCAGTGGTCATGGTGGTATGGCGCCCGAAAAGTTTGCTGGCTTGGTGCTTAGTATTTGGTCCTTATAGCAATATACAAATACAGCTATTTTCGTGACGAGCCGAATTGAGGTTTGCCCGATCTTGCACTACATGACCCCGGATTCTCCCCCAACATGTATCGGCCAGACTAAGTAAGCCAATCAATGTTCCTGAACCCAACGGGTCGCCATCCTTGAGCAGTGAACGGATGCTCTGCTTGTTTCATTAACCCTTCGTTGATACGATTTCACGGTAGAGGTGCCCAAAAACCCTAGAAGATTTAGTTGGCCATTCACCTTGAAACTACATTACTTCCTTCAGCCTGCAAGAATCAACCCTTTCAATTCCACCCTGCAAGCCCAAAGTATCTCATTCCTCCCGGGCACTCAATCTTCGACGAGGACTTTCGTTCTGCATGTGGCGCGTGGAGGCCGCTTTCGGCCCCTCGGATTGTAAGCCCGGAAATGATATAAGACTCCTTAGTATAGGGACACCCAACCCTAGCTTTGGGGAACCCCAAGTCAAGTGTCCATAGACCCACACAAAAAATGGATGCTTCTGTTGAGGTTTGTGAGATCCGAGCACGGCCCAAACTATCTGGAGTGGCGGACCTTGGTCTGGCCAGATGACGGCAACATGGCTGTACCTTGGGTTAGGCCCCCACCTACTAGTCGCGGTATACTTGGAATAGAAAGAGCCCCTAGTATAAGAGCACATTAAGAATATGTCGAGGCCCTTATACAAGCTTGGATATATAGAGGCCCGAATATAATCACCATGATCTTTATCTCTTGTGGTCACCCAAACCTAAACTGTACCACGTCTTGATGCCCTGGGAGTTGAGACACGCCAGTTGTGGTCTAGGGTTTAGGGGTTAGTATCGTGAGCATAGGTGCGCAAGTTGTCCGGTGCATGCGACTGACAAAATCTGTCCTGGGCGCATTCCATGTTATTCATAGCTCCTCAGGTCTGTAATGAGCACGGATAGGCATAGCAAGTTTAAATTGGATATCTTGCGCATTATTCTGCAGCTTCCTTGAGCTAGCCCAGGCAACTGGTCATTCTTTTCTGGTCTAGCGATGCCATTTCCAGGAGGCATCCCTGGCAGCATGCAGAAAGGCTAGCAGAGTCTGGGGGACTTGGACACTGCTTGCTAAAACAAAGCTCCATTCTACGTCGTCCTCTGCCAAACATCATTCCGAATTTCTTTGCTTTACCGATGCAGTTCCAGATGCGTGGCTGTCGTACAGAGCTTTGGGGCCTTCTGTTGGAACGCCTTTGCGTATTTGCTTTGAGGGAGTTGTGTAGGAGTTGTGTTAGACTTGTGGTATGGCTTGACGCAATATTAGCCACCAATATCGCATTTTTTGTTTGCATTGTGCCTCAAGCCCAAATCTCGAAACTAGACTTACATGGTAGTTCGAACTGCGAAGTCCTACAGCCTGCAGAGGCAAAACAAAGAGTCCTGATGTGAAAGCCAGATCTAGCAGAACAGATCAGGCGTGAATAGATTGCCTCGATCTTAATTTGCACCAGTCCAATCCCTCAATCTAAAGACAAAGTAGCAACCAACAAGGGAAACAGAACACGATGAAGCTCTAGTGGCTTCCTGCAACTTGGTGTGCCCTAAACTTTAAACCCTAAACCTTAACCCAACACCAAAACAACGCTGGCCTTCAGGGCGTCCGCGCTGCAACATTGACATCAACGGACCTGTGGCATTGTACCGCGGCTTCTCTCCACAGAAGCTTGAGGCAAATGACGCCAGGGTAGTTATAGTATCCCTCTAGATAAGCCGTATAATACTCCCCGATATAATCCCCTACAAAACCCCCCTTTAAGGAGTCTAGACTCTAAGCTTCAGGAGAGTGAACTAAATTGCAGTATAACTGCCTAAAAAAAGCTTTGCTTCGAGTATGGTTATCCCGCCAGAGCAAATGCTTGAGATAGCTTTTGAACCGTGCGGAACCACCAAGTAGCAGCCGTGGTAAAAGTTCACAAAAATTCCGCATCCTTCGGTGAAAGCACAAGGAAGTTTCAGTACGGCCACATACTGCTGGACCTCTTGCCAATGTTGCACTTCCTTTCTACCTCAGAACCCGCTTCGACGTTGGTCCTCCAGCGGGACCCAGCCACTTGAAGGCACAGCAGGTTGGGGAAATAGCAACAAGAGAAAGGATGGACATACGCCGCAATAGTCAACAGTCTACAAGGCTTTCAGTGCTAGTGGTGAAAGTGTACCGCTGCTTTTCAGCAAGAAAGCTGTCGGACGGAGGTACTTGTTGCAGTGGGTTGAAGAAGCATTGCCCGTACAGTGCGTCATCATAAAACAAATTAAAGGTGGCCAGGCAGGCTGGCATGCATTGGATTATCGGCAGCTTTGACTGCTTGGGCATATCTAAGAGTCAAGCAAGTGCAGTGAGGTTCACTAAGCTGCTTGCCTCAGGCAGGAGCCATCGAACGCTTCATGAGCTGGTTCGATGGACGCCTGACTCTCTTCAGGATGTATCTGCCTGGCTTTGTAGATTTTTTTCGCATAGGGCGACAGCCTGCCGGTGATTAGCTTCGGACGTCCTTGGAAGTGTCAAGAGACCAACCAAGGAGACCTGGTTCAGAGGATGGTCTTCGTGAATGAAACACAGGCCCGGGCCAAAACATCCCTCTTCTCTATAACCATTATTACTGATTACTGTTATACCATGACGGCGACGGCGATGGCGATAGCAACGGCCACGACAGCGACGGCCACCACAGCAACAGCAGCAACAACGGCTACTACTACTAGCACTGTTACTATTACTGGAGCCCAAAGATGTACGCATTGGTTTCAGATGATGCGAATTCTGGGCAGCATGGTTGACCCATGTCGAACAGCATGTTTCAAAGGCGCTTGCGTCTACGTTCAGGGCTGATTCAAAACTCCATGCAGAAATTAGTCAATTAGTCGGCGTAGCTGTGATAGTTTCAAATGCGGCTGGGAAGTACTTCCTGGGTTTAAAGTTTCCTTGATACAACACCGTGGCATGATAATCCCAATAACGCAGATTCAGAGATCTTTTAAAACTCTGCTTTCCTCTTTTCACAAATGATTCTTCTTGCTAATTTTTCGGAGGGTTTCAGTGCCTACACTACACCTCTTAAACTGAAATCGACTAGCGCCCATTAACTCCTTTGCAAGGTGGTGTGCACCCAGGACCGGCTTGTGCTGCTCAAGGCTCAGATCGGAATCAACAGACCCGAGCCATGGCAGCTACTAAGGAGTTTTCTTGTAGGCAGGATTATAGTATAGATAATTTGGGGTCCATATCATGGTACAGCATTGGATGGACTTTTCGGGGTCCATATTCTGGTACATTCGGGTCTAGATTGGAGCATCTTGTTTTGGAAGCCAGCAAATTGCAATGGTTAGAACCTTGTTTCATTGCTACAGGCCCTCGCAAATGCGGCTCTCCAAGTCTCCAAACTCCAGGAACCAGAGGTCTTTACTAGAGCGCAGGCTTGGCAAATAGCATCATCCGGCCGAAACGAGGTGTTATCTTTAGTGGAGATGCTTTTTTCGGAGCTCACAAACAGGTATCCTGGATCAGCAATCTTTGTCTACCACCAGATACCACTAGACCAGATAGGATCTCATCCTTTGCGTGGCCATGATTGCTGACTGACTTCTGGTCATCTGGCCAAACCTAGTCAACGATGGGGTGCCCCTGGGAGCTTGTCAGTAGAACGTATCACTGGCCGTGGAGATGGCGTGCGCGTGTGTCTCCGGGCTGCCATTGTATTGAAGCCGAACTCTGCTTCACCCCAAACCAGTGACAACACTCATCACCAAAAATTGCTCACGCACCCGCAGCCTGACATCACTGCAAAGTAGTGGCGCAGGGATTTAGATGTTGGCATGCGTAGGTCCTGCTCTTGTTGTCATTTGCCACAGGCTCGTAGGCCCGAAGCGCCAAACTACCATCAAGCCAGAACTAAAGCTACGAAATGAGCCTGGGTGCAAGTGAGCCAAAGCTTTACATTGTCAGAGGATAGCATGCGGCTCATGAGTCTCTGGGGCCCGCTGCGGAAACTTGCCTGCAACACGGTGGAGTGTGGATGCTGTCCCGGATCTGCAGAGAGTGTCAAGATCAAGCTGTCCGTAGACTGTCAGCATGAGCCGTCCCTTGACATGCTGCCAGACTCCGCGGAGCTGGTAACTGACAACCTGAACGCCACAACACCTGGATTCATTCCTGGCCTGATGCCCTGCCCATGAATCATACGGAGTCCAGTTTCCCAGTGGACGCCCAAACCAGGTCGCATCTTCGTCAGCTGAAGGCCTCGCAACCAGTGGCACGCGCCATAGCCTACCAGCGCGAGACACTGGACCAGTTCTGGAGGGTGCTTTGCTGTTCAGCGACCTCATGGGCTCCGCAAGTCACATCAAGTCACTCTCACTATGCCGTTCTAGAATGTTTGGACTAGGCGTTGAAGGAAATTCAGTCATTTTGAAGAATGCGGTATAGGTTGTCGCGGGACATTGATGATTGATGCTGGGAAAACACAACAGACATTGTGAAGAGCATCATGACAATGACCAGATGTGTCAGCACCACACGAGTGGCCCTTGCCACAGCAGGAAGTCGTGACCATGGCCTCGACCGCACGCGGAGCTTTTTTATTCGATCTCGAGTCATGCTTTGTACGTGTCATCCTTGTACATCAGCCGTGTCTCATGGAAGCAATGCTTTCAGGTGCTGAAAGATTTACTTTGTTATTTCACGAGCAACGGTTATGTGAATGGTAGAGGTTCCGCTGTCTCAGAAAGAGGTATCCCAACCAAATTTTCCGCACAACTCCAAGCCCACATCTCAGGAGTAGCTCGGTCAGCCACGGCCGCATCATCAACCCGCTGAACAGCCACAGGCTTCCAGGCTAATTAGAGGTGCACTCTTGAGATGACAGAAGGGAAGGCTTGTGATATCGCAGGATTGCCGCATGCGTATGGGAGTCTGGTTAGTCACGAAAGCTCCTTGAAGGGAGCTGGGCTGCGTGCTCTTCTGGTTGTATATCGTCTGTCTCTTCAGGTCCTGTGTCACCAGTCCTGACCACTATTGAGCTTTCGTCCCAGCCCGTGGTTCTCAGAGTTTTTGTGAACCTGAACCATCATCGCCTCATGCCTATAGGCTGCGTATGCGCGTGACCCGCAGGCTTGTGACCATTGCAAAGGACGCGCTGGAGGCCGAAAAGGAAGATACAGCCTCTCACCCTACATTGGGGACTATGATACCCCTACTAAACAAGGGATGTGCATGGAGCCTCCGTACTGGTTATTGACCTCCTAGTCAGGAATTTGGTCCTAGAAGTTTTGTGTTCAAGCCCCTTTTTGTGGGCTGTAAATTTGTGTTCCACGAGGCTGGTAGCTGGACGAACCACCTTTGGCATGAACTTTACACAATAAGTCAGACGCTGATTGAATCGCCACTTGCGGTGACGGAATCGGATTCGGGCCCAAAAGCAACCGTAGGAACAGCGCATAGGATCCCTCATCTTGCAACGGCCAGGCAGCAGGAAGGGGAATTAGCTATTAGAATCATTACTATTATTGCAAGTGCATTCAAATTGTATTTGACCATTCCCATCATTACTGTTACTGCGGAAAATAAAAAACAAAGTCATGCCGCTCCTGATCCCAGTAGTAATAGCACTAATAGAAATAGGATTGATCATAACCAAAATCATCATTATCATATTTTTAGTAGAAATACTAGTAATAGTAATGTTTAGACCTGGTCCCAGCATTTCCCCAGCTTCATTTTGACAAGCTTCATCTATTCCTTGCTCGAGGAGGCCCAGAGCAGCGCAGTGCATCTATACCGCCAGCTGTAGCTATTACCATTATTACTACTACGATTGCTATTCTTGTTTCTATTGCCATTGTTACTGTTACTATTACGCTTGTTATTATTGTTATTGCTGTTACAAGTATCACTAGTCCTCCATTGCCATCATTACGAGTATTGCTAGTATTATTCCTGGCAACTGTAGCAGGCTCACGGCCGGCCACCCGAAGTTGCAGTCTTCACGGGGAAGATTGCCGGGAAGATGATGAGCTTTGAGGAGAAACGCTCGGTTTTTTGAGGAGGATGACTGTTTCCTTACTTCTGGTTAGAAGCGCATGAAGGAAGCGATCCTAATGGGGACTTGATTATTCCCGACCATAGTATAGTAGTTTCTCATGTCCCATGGTCTTTTCCAGTTGATTTTCCCTTCTACTAGTTTCCATGTTCTTTTCCACTCCTTGATTCATTCCTTGCTAAACAGACGATGAGAGTTCCTGCAGGAGCAGTATCGCCTCTTCAGCTCAGCTTTCCTCGCCTACGGCCCCCAGGGGTCAGGCTTGGCCAACATACTTTGGATGCAGCATCTCAGACCCGATTGAGGTAGAGTCTAGGATTTAGAGGTTAGGGTTCAGGGTTCAGGGTTCATCATCATCATCGTCGTCATCACCACCAAATCTGCTTCAATCATCCCGTCTCCTAAGCCCAAGAAGCTCATTTTGGCTTGAACGCTTGATAGCAACGTGCGAGTAGCAGATGTTCTGCTCATGGTTTCCACAGGCTGGCCTTTACAATATGAACAAGAACAACATCATTATCTTGACGGTCATGATGGGCTGTGGCGTCGCTAGGGTCTGCAGTTTCCGGGTCGTTTGCTCTGCGAGTTTTGGTTCATGTGGTCTGTGTCTCTGAGCCTCTGTCTCTGTCTTCCTCCTCAAGGGTATCTTTTGGCCTTCAATCAACCCCAAAACCAGAAACCCGGCCCTAGGGCCTATGTAATCCTCAAAACTGACAGAAGTCAATACCCAAAACCTTGAACCCTGCTAAACCCGAAGTGAAACCTGGAAGCAGCCCAAACCCAATAGGCCCAAAACTTCCTTAAATCCTGAAGGCTGAAAAACCCTGAACCCTGCAAAACCCCGAGCCCAAACCCAGAAAACCTCACCGTAAACCTGAAGCCCGAAACCCCAACCCCTGACGCCTTAAACTCTAAACGCTGAACCCTAAAGCAAAAAAGCCTCAACCCCAAACCCGAAACCCTAATGCCAAGCTTTCGAACCTAATCCCCAACCCATGTACAGCATGTACATTCACCCCTTTAAAGCGTCCGCATGGACCGCAGACAGCCTGAGCGGTGAGGAATGCAGACTGTCAGCATCGGCCGGCAGTCATCGAGTTCATTTGTTCCGAAGACACGCTTCACGTTCCCGGCTGTTTCATTCCCTTCGGCTCACGAAAGGCCATAGCCAGTCAGGGGTCTAGTAGGGAATAAGAGAAGACAGTGTATGGGGATGATATGTCTCTTCCCTGCTAACAACCAGTAAGAAGGAGGAATTGCGAGGAAGGTTTTGATGGTCTCGTACCTCTTCCTGCTACTGCGCCTGTTTCAAGTATACCTAACCATACCTAACCCATTTCTGACCAGGGCACCTTGATCAAAATTGCATGGTGCGCAGTTTGTTCTCAGGGACACACGCACACGACTTCATGCACTTCTAGATCAGGGTAGATCAGGGCGTAGTGCTGCTCCATAATTCGAATTGGTTTCCTGTCCGAGCTTCAAGGCAATGACTCTATGACATATGATGGACGCAGTATACTGCAGGTTTGTCCCAAGTCGTTGTTAGTTTCCTTGCTTCTGCAACATTGGGGTACTTTCTGTTTATTGCTAAAAGTGATACTGTTGGTGGCTTTGGCATTGGTACCTTTGGTCTTGATTTGGTCCTGAAGCCTCTGGAGGTCCTGAGCATTAAGTCCACCTGGCGCGTGGCTGGGGGCGCCTTCTGGGTTCGCTACTTCCACGCTGCTCGGCGGAAGGCCTTAGCTTCGTCACCTGGGCTGTTTGTCCAAAGCTTTGGCCAGCCTAAGGTTTGGATGCTGCGGGGTAGCCGTCGTGGCGAGGCACGGACAAAGATCAAACTTTCACGGTAGTTGGGGCTCACTCTCGCTCACTCTGCGATAGGATAGCTTTGGCACAGGCTTGCAAGGGTCTGCACCAGCTGGCACGGTTCTCACCACTGCACTTCTGCCGCATCTTGGGAACATTCTCGCCGTGTACAGTAGCCATTAGTTTCAAGTGTCTGTGCCCCAGAGCTACAAGGCCCAACTCCCGAGCCATGGCCAAGAATGCCAAGACAAAGGCCAAGTGGGAGCTGAGGCCTTTCTCTGCAAAGGAGAAGGCACCCTGGAAAGCTGCAGCTGGGACCAAAGAAAATCCTAGAGCTCCTTTTTCGATTTTTTTTTGAAACGGGCCACAAACCCCAGGGATATGTCGGCTTTGCTTCAAGGCCATTCGGAAGGTCGCAAGATCCTAAGCACACAGTTTATATTGAATCTGTATGGGGTTTGGGGCTCAAGTATTTACTGTACAGTACCTACTCAGATGGTCAGGGTTGCACGAGTTGGGAAATCCTGAGATAGGGGGCTCCATACATTGGGACCCCCTCCCAACGATTGAGTGACCTTCCTGGGTTCCCCGTGAGAGCTTGCGTAAACGCAAAAGACAACAAGGCAGGCTTCAGGATGTATGCCGATAGATCGAAGGTAGTCTGTGGATTGAATTCGGGTATACAAGGATTAGCGCCAAGGTTCACGTGTGGGTTGCGTTGATGGGGAGGACTTTAGATTCAACCACGGCTCATCAGCTTACCATCCCTCGACCTTCCATCTACCCTCTATGTACTCAAAATTAAAAACCATATACCCTTGTTTAGGGGTACAAGGAGGGTCCTGGTTCCTACATGTTCGCTCCTAAGCTTGTTGCTCTCAGGCTGTGCAAAGCGTCCGCAAGGAACTCAAAGTGCGAAAGCGTGAACACCCTGCGCTCTTCATGCTCGGCGCAGCAGGGAAGCATCTGTACGAAGCTGTTCAGGCAGGTTGGGCTTTGTTTGCCGGCGGAGCTTGGTCGAGGGCAGGATAGTAAGTAAGTGGCAGCATCTGTAGGAAAAGCGGAAAAACGCTCGGATCAGCAAAGTGCATTAGGTCTGGGAGGTTTCAGGGATGATGTTGCCATGAGGGTAACGCTGCGGCTTTCCTGGCAGATGTAGGGAATGTTCGCAAAACAATCCCTGTAACTTCATGGTCCTGCCATTGTAGTGCTGTTGAGCTGGGCATCAATTGTCTTCTGTCGCACCGTTCTAAGCAGATCTGATCCGAGATTCTCCCATCCCAAGATACCAGCCAAACTTTAGGATAGCGTCAGCAGCAAGCGTAGTGTGCATTGGTCTTGCTCACCTCGCCTGCTAGGAGGAGTACAAGAAGGCGGGCAAGAAGAACTGGCAGCTGAGGAAGCCAAAGCCTCAACCCTCTGAGCTTCCTGAGCTCCTTTCAACTGGGTTTTCAAATTTGTGCATTCCGTCGTCTTCGGCCCTAAGGTTCAGTAAGAAGGAGAGTGCTCCTTGGATCGCTGCAGTCGCAAGTGCCAAGAAGCTCCTCCACAGCAAGCCGCGACAGCATCCAGCACTCTTCTTGCTCTCTGTGGCAGGGCACTCAGGAAGATGGCAGACGGACACCTAATGAGCCCATTGGGGACTCGCTGTATTCGATTGCTTTATCTTGCAAATCTAGTTAGGGCAGAGGAACCTTCCTTATTTCCACTTTCCACAGCTTCCACGGAGGTAGAGGTGTCTTGTGATTTGCGCGCAGTAACCCAGGTCGGCAAAGAGATGTACGAGGCAGCGCAGTCCTTGTACACGAAGCCAAAGGCAAAGACGATGAAAGCCATGAAAGCCATGAAAGCTATGAAGGCCATGAAATGAGCTCAGAGTGCTGCGAAGTATGCACGGCACATGGCATTGGTCCCAGGGAGCTGGCTACAACAACTGTACAACAACACAATAACTATAGTTATACTTACTGTATATTTGAATTATATGATGAGTATATTATAGCTACATCATAACTTGACTGGTTCCAGGGCCGATGTGCGTCTTAGACATTTGTTAAGCTTGGGTTTTCTTGTTTCACGCTGCAGGTAGAGGGCAAATTAGCTCAGGCAATCAAATGCCCGTGCGATGGAACAGGTCGTATGATGCATAGAACAAGTCGCATGTGAATGCTCGCTGGAAAGCACAAGCTTATTGGCGAGATCCGCAAAAGGGCCGAGAGAAAAGGACGGGTGCATTGTTGCAGAAGAAGTAGCGTTCCAGTATCTGGTAGAGTTGGACTTTGCAGCAGCTTTTAGTTTCGCAGCTTCAGTCTGCTTCCAGCATCTACCTGAAATGCCTGCGCCGGAAATTTATTCATCATGTTGATTGACGGATTTTACCATGGATCATGACAACAATCATGTCGAGCCAAGAAGAGGATTTCGTTAATGCAAAACGTCACAGATGTTCCAGGGGTCCGATGCGAAGTCTTGACCCCAACCTGCGGTGGTATTGCTTCTAGCTCAGATGAAGGCATCACTGAAAGAATGGCTCATCATGTTGAGCAATCGTCGGATCATTTGGCCGTTGTGGTTCTGCTTCTTGCAGCATGGTACATGTGTTGCATCCAATTCTGCTATGATTCCTCTAGTGACTTGTGCTCTTGGCCCGCAGGTGTGGATCGATCTGTACGGCTTCAACAAATCGTTGGGTGAAGCCTTGCGGCCCATGAGCCTGTATTGAGGCGGGCTGGTGGAAGGGGAGCCAGCGCGCAAGAAAAAAAAGAACCTGAACGTCAATGCAGATGTGATGGCCATTATTGGGCAGTGTCCTGAGGCGGTAGTCAGCCTTGGCTGCTCAAAAATCCTAAGGATTCCATCAAGCCTGAAACGAGGCTTGTGACAGTCATACGCTAGTGCTAGTGACATGGCTCCAACTTCCATATCGCAGTAATCCAGAGGATTGCTCTGCGTTGAAATCCGTAGTGCCGTAGGATGCCCCGAAAGAAACAGGGATCCACAATAAAGACCCCATGATACGAGAGTCCTTGTTATGGACCCCCCCCAAAAAGGTACCCCTAATTTTGGGAAACCCTAAACCTCATCTATCCCGTATATAGCCCCCTATAAGCCTTTTAAGGGGACCCCCAAAAAGGTACATATAATTTTGAGAAACGCTCAGATGAACGTAGTCATCTCGCACGCCCTTGAAGCGTCAAACCAGTTAAAGACATGGAAGCTGCACACAAATTCGACAGACTGCTGTAAGGTTTAGGGTTTGGGGTATTACCTTGGGTATGATGTGAATTTTGAGACTGGCATCCAAGCAAAAGTCGAGAAAGGCCAAAACAACTTGGAATGAACAACCTAGAAAACACGAAGGCCTCTGCGTCGCAGCCACTTAGGGCTTGAGCCTCGTAGTCTCCGGTCCCGCCTGACGAGTCTTTTTGTTTTCGGCATCGGCAGCTCGACTGTGAACCCCAAAAAAAGATACGATGGTCCCGAATTTGGGAAACTCCCAATTTTGATCCACAGATACAGACTCTGCCTGACATTGGATGCTTTGTGAGACTTTCAGCTGGTGGGCCGCGGTATTACTGGAATATGGAGCTTTAGCTCATCAGGCCGTAGTCTTTGTCGTCAAAGTCAAACAGGATAGTGCCTGCACAAGACATGTGTGAAACACGATGAACCCTGCTCGTGAAATGTCATGTGCACGATGGAGCTTTAGCAAGTTTGCGTCATCTGGGCCATAATTGTTCATATCCTCAAGCAAGAGTGCCATCCAAGCTGACCCCAGGACCTCAAAAGCAAAACCATAGCCATCTCAGAAAGAAGCTATGTGAGCACAAGCCGTCCGATTCGTCATTGTTGAAGTTTCAAATAAAGATTGGATTGCAGACGGTATCCAGGACCCACTTTGAAGCTTCGAATTTCGCTGAAGTGCCAACGCAGAACATTGCAAAAGGACCAAACATATTCTAAGTCTAAGTCTACCCTGCCTTGAGGTTTGCAGCAACTTGTCTGCGACACGGTCTTCCTAAGGGCAGGTGGATGCTCCCAAAGCAGTTTGGTTTAGAATACAGGCATGACTAAAGATTCCTAAGACCTCCCCAGGGCTCACTGTAGTTCCATACGATCTCCCGACGTGGGGCTCCCAAGCATGGGGCGACCTTACTGTCATTCCTTTCCTGAGCCAAGCTCCTAATCCTTAGCAAAGGATGATGGCACCCGTGCCGCTTATGAAGCTTCTTTTGATGCTGACCTGGATCAGGCGCGCAGGGGCTACAAAGTAGTAGGGAATAAAAGAATGTAATCTCTGTCAATGAATGTCGTACATGCGATGTAGGAAGTTAGCGTTCGGAATCTGCTAGACTAGGATCCCCCAATACTTGGAGCTGATATTTGCGCAAGAGAGTAGTGTGTTCAAGAGAGAGACAGAGAGAGAGAGAGTTCTGGGGGAGGCGTAGGCCTCTCTTTCGCCCGTAGAAGAAGAAAGAGAGCGAGAGAGATCTTGCATCATTCCTGAAAGATCTGCAATACAAACTCTATCAAAGATGTTTATTTAGTAAGAGTCCTAGAAGAAACTCGCAATCAGGGAAAGAGCTCAATCAGGATCCCCACTAAGGATCCCTCATGAGACATCGTGTAGGCTAACAGATCTACTAGTATACGATGCGGGGTTGCAGGCACTGATGTGTCTTGAGTTTTTCTGATGCTTCGCTGGGCTATGCGGGCCGTGCTACACAAAGGAGCCTGCACGATCCGTAAGAATTCCAAGAGATGGCTTAAGTCTGATCATGCTCCCTATTGCAAGAATGATTTCCGGAAAAAGAGATGAGCACAGCCGCCTTGGACGCGGCTAGCCGAAAAGCTATCCGCTTGACAGGTTCACAGCTGCTGGAGACTGCGAGGGCGAAGATTGCGAGGCCATTTCTACAAAAGGGTCGGGTTTTGAAGCTAAGCCCTAAACCTTTAACCGCGTAACAGAGCATGTCAAGGCGCCAAGCTATGTTCTCAGACTGGTCGGTAGCCTCGTTGGTGCATCTCATTTCGCCCATCTGTGATTTTCGGAAATGGTAGTTTCCCCAAACAGGGGCACCCCAATATAGACCCTTATTGTAGGGACCCCTTGGACGTACATTTTGGTGAACTCCAGCAAAAGGGACTACTGAACCTGGACTCAGCCTTGCTGTCCGCTACGTTGTTGAGCCCCCTTATCATTTGAGCTATAGTCTAAACTCCGTTTTTGGAGTTCAGACTATAGCTAACTTCAGATTTGAAGCACATTTCTAGCCAGGCGAAGGCGAAGCAGGCGAAGGCGCGTGAGTTGTTCTCATGGGTGTCAGCCTCCAATCCTGAAGTGCAACCCTAACCCGAAACCCTAACCTAATCCCCTAAACCCGTAAACCCCCACCCCCCAACCCCCACACCCCTTAATCCGCTAACGCCCTACTCCAATAAACCTTAATCAAACCCCTCAATCCCCTAAACCCTACTTCCCTAAACCCCTTAATCCCCTTAACCCGAAAACCAGTAATCCCCTAAACCCCTTAACCCTCTTAGTCCCCTAAACCCTAAATCTTCCCTGCAAGGCGCAGCGCGAAGAGGCCGAGCCTTCCCAGCTGCTCCAACACTCAGCGAAGGCGAGGGTCGGAACCCTGAAGGGTACATGTAGGGTATATATATATATATACATAGGGTACATATAGGGTATATAATATAGGGTATAGAAGGCATGTACGGTATAGACTAAACTCCTAAAAGGGGGTTGTATAGGGGATTATGTAGGGTTTAGAGTTTAGGGTTTAGGGTCTAAACTCCTTATAGGGGGATATATAGGAGATTTTTTCGGATTCCAGTTACAGGGGTTACTAAGGGGGATACTAGGAGTTTAGACTACAGCTCATGTTCATTTAGGGTATATAGGTATATAAAGGGCCCATGCTGGGTCGTGTTTAAGGGCGGCCCCCTAGGCATGCTTAGGGTTTAAGGGTTTAGGGGTTTAGGGTTTGGGCTTAGGGTATAGGGGTTCAGGGATTTGGGTTTACAAATTAGCCTGGACAAGAACGAATGGTAGTTTCTCAAAACAGGGGGTACCCCAACATAGACCCCAACATACTATAACCCTTATTGTCGCGACCCCTTAGAAGGTACCCCTCATTTTGGTAAACCCCATATGTGATTATACTTGTACAGGACATACTTGCTAACTACGCGCGGCACCCTGCCCATAACTTGGTAGCAGTCCTTTTATACCTGGACTCCGAAGCAGAAAGCTGCCCCGCGAAGTCAAGTCTCCCTCCACGTGTTGATCGCGCGCCCCACGCACGGAGCCGTTAGCTACAGTTTGTCGTCAGGAACATTGGGCCCATCACTCGCGGCCCGGCATCACGAACATCGTCTTTTGCGCGCTGTTTGTGCGGACTTTGGGATGTTGTGACCCTGGAAAACATAGAGTCCCAATATCTTATAATATACCTTGCAATTGTTAGCAGGCTCTTTGTTGGGGGGTATTGTTCCAGTATAATTACCTTGGTAAGCCATAGGTTCATAATTGGAAATTTGCCTTGGTGCGGTAGTTGGTCGCCACGGGTTCGAAATAGGTCCCGCCTTGGTGGGTGGGTCTGCGGGCGGGCCGGTGAGTGCTCGTAGAGCGGTCTCGGTGGGCTGGAGAGCCCAGGTGCTTGCGCTGTAATCATAGCGCATAGTTATTGGAGCTGTAGAGCCCACATATCATCAAGTTCATGGGAAATTTACTTGAGTAGAACTCTGAGGAGAGCTGTCAAGTCGTACGGAGGATTGAGGAAATCTTGCACCACTTAGGATCCCCCGAAGGCTGCAAGTATTGGGGTATAAGGGTGTATAAGGCATAAAGGGCGGGGAGCAAGA